ATTTATTGATCCGCTTGCAAAAATTCAACATATTTATGTTTAGGTAAGTTCTTCCTTAACATTCCTGGAAGCCCTCGTATATCGAGACATTTTGTAAATTCCCTGAAGAGTTCCAGTGGATGAACTAGATGAAGAGACCGTGGTTATGTTTTGTCGGTGATACTAGTCTGAGTCCAGAAGCTGCGGGATGAAAATCTGGATTAATTATGCAGTCAAATTTCTCAGCCTCTGTCAAGTCAAGACTCGAGGAAATCTAAGATGGTATTCTGTCGTGGGAAGGAAGCTTCCTTGATGCTGGATGGTCAAATCTGGGTTGTTGAAATCCCAAAGTCCGGGGAAATAAAGCTTCTGGATTATATAATGCGGCTTTTCTGGAAATTAATTTTCCCTTGAATTCGTTTCAGGTGAAAATAAGCGCATGGATTAAGTACTTGTACTTGCTCACGACAAATTAACAGATTGAGGTTTTTGCTGATTGTATCTACTTCGTGAGAAACGTGCGAATTAAGATATTGTCGAACGAATTTTTTGCTCTAAATTCTGAGAAGGGTCTTGAAGTCATGAGTTTTCTGGATGAAAGAACTGTCCCCAATCAAGGGATTTCATTACCCAAGGTCTCTTTTTCAGTGCGAAACTTAACGAGAAACAAGCTGATTAAGACGCCATCTTGTTGAAAATGTTTGTTCAGAGAAAGGATTGAGTTTCTGGTTGGTAAGGCACCGATCAAATGATTCGGTTAATTGACATTTAATTTTTACGTGTGCCTCTAATGTTTCAGTTTATTTTTCAGGTTTACCTTTGAAATCTGTAAGTGAAAAAAAAAATCACGCACGAAAGGATTTTAAGACAAAAGCATTCGAATTTCTTATCCATCTCTGATGATCAATGTTATTATTCAAGTAATTTATTGTTGTTTTTATTCAATTAATTCTTGCTGTTGAAACTAAAATCTTGTTTTTCACTTGAAAAATTGGCAATTTATAACAATCTATATGATGTTCTGTAAGATGCGCATTAAATTTTTAGAGACTGAAAACTTTCAATATTTCGAAAACAGAAGAGATCAAAATTTTCACTTGAATCGAGCCTGAATTCAATGCATTTTGATTGCTTTTCTGTTTGAATTGTTGACATTTACCAGAATTTTCCATTAAAGAATTAAATGGGATCAATACCTAACCTAAAATGTGTAGAAATATTTTACCTTCCTATGGCCTGCAACTCGTTTTTCCTTTTGACTTTGAAAAAACAGATGCATGTGGTATTTGAGCAAATACATAAAATTCAGGATCAAAGCCATTATTTTCATGGACAGGTACTTGATGAACCTTTCTTGGATCACGAGTCGTTTTTGCTGCTTTTCAGTAAAATAAATTATGAGTTTTTTTTTTTTACTGAATGATCGATGTTCGTTGAATGGTGAAGAAAAAATAAGTTAGATGTGAGGAAATGTTTCCGAATTTGCTCAGTTCTGAGGCCAGGAAAAAGATGAGAATCAAAGAAATGTACTTTAAAAAGAGGAAACGTAGCTTTTCTTTCATCATTACAACTACTGAGAAACAGTACCTCACCAATAAGCATCAGAGTTTCCAACGGAAAGTTGGACAGTAATACAATAGTTCTCAAGGCAGGTCGACTGCTGGTACACATTAGTACTTGAGGAGTCAAGTACTGTAACGGGCAGTAGAATGTACATTACTTGTACAATATTTATAATTTTTCGTAAAGTTGATGTGGGATCAAATACGCACTGCCATGGCTTTTTTTCTTCTCTTCCAGCGAAAGAAGGAATACTTTTATTGAATGATATTTTATTTTTGCTTTGATAACTCCTGAAAGGGTAAATATTTTCCCGCAGATTCTCTGCTGTTTTATTTTGACGTTAAGCTCACTTTTCTTTCAAATATAGATCAAAACGTAGAAAAACAAAGGCACAAACATTTTCTTCGACATCAGGAAAATCGTGTTATTCCTTTTAAGGACGTAGAATTCGCGTAAATTGGATTTGTTGACGCCTCAGACGCGTGGCTTTCAACCGCAAAAACTTCAAAGACTGTGTCGACATCTGAAATATTGAATATATTCCGTCTTTCCACAAAATTTAGAGCATCCTTTGTCGCAAATTCAAATGAAAAAATACGCCCGTACTGTTTTTGAGTTTGTCTTTTTTGTGAGGAAAAGCGAGCTTTTTGCTTCCGCTGAATTTTTCTTTGCGGGAAATCTGGATTTAATTTACTAAATTAACGATTACTGTTCTTTGCTCGGTTTGCAAATAATGAATTTTTTACAATCCCAAAATTTAAAAACCCCCTCTGCCATCTTTAGTCAATGCAATAATGACAAAAAGCTGATGGAAATTTTCCGAATGCTGCTCCCGGATTCTTGGCAAAGAAGCAGATCCTTATCTGTGTCTGAAAAATGTTTAAACTGCCATTTAGAACTTCTTTCCTAAAAATTGGAAAATGTAAGATTTTAGATCATGAACCAACGCGAATTTGAAAAATGAACCCGAAAGTTGAATGAAAGTTGCTAGGTTTTAGAGGCTGAGTTTTTTCTTCCTGGCGTGTGTTCAATGTGAAAAAAAATCAAGATGTACGCTTTTTGTTTTGTATTTTACTGCAAACACATTTGGCTATTTATGGGAAGCCTGTGATTGTGTTCTCATGCAGTAAAGCGATAAAATGGAGATGGTGGTCATGTGATGCTTCAGGCATTTCAGTGGAAAATGAGAGAGAGAGAGAAAAAAAAATCTCGAGCTTTAATCTTTTTAAGCTTTAAGTATTCGATTCGTTAATTTCAAAAATCGAAAATGTTTCAAAATGGATGTGAAATTTTGAATTAAATAAGGGCCTCGAAGCTCTTATCGTGCGTATATTTAACTCGCATTTTCGAAGGATGTTTTACGTATTAGTTCATGTGTATTTTTTGTCATTCAATGTCTGCTGCTCGTGTATGTGTATATTTTTTCGTGCTAACGGATGTGTTCGTATGAACCTGCGAAGGTCAGGCAATTTTTCGCCAGAGACGAAACTTCTTTTTTTTTTTATAAGAAACTTTGTCTCAAATATATACGCGCGGAAAGTTGTAATCGTTTATCCTGCCAAGCAACGAAGGAGTCTAATACGAAGTTACCATTCATGTGTTGCGAAACAAGGTTGATGCTCAAAAAGACATTAAGAAACTTTGTCTCAAATATATACGCGCGGAAAGTTGTAATCGTTTATCCTGCCAAGCAACGAAGGAGTCTAATACGAAGTTACCATTCATGTGTTGCGAAACAAGGTTGATGCTCAAAAAGACACAAAAAAGAAGAAAAGAGAATCCAAGTCCAACTTTTTTTTTTAGACATTTTGACATCATGATTTGAATGTTAATTGGATTGGAAGACATCTCTCATGGAAATTCGGAAATTTATAGATGAATAGGCTGAAGAATCATCGGAACTCTGTGTTCTGCACTTATGTTTTATTTGTCGAAGCTTCTTTTTTTTAGTGTGATTCGTATTCTTGCTATTCGTGAATGTCATTTTACCTGGATGTGTTCAATTTATGGAACATTTTAGCCACTGTATATGTTGGTGATCTGTGTACACGATGGCGAATAAAAAGAAAAACGGGAAAACGATCATTGTCACGGAAACGTTTTGAATGATCTCTTCTTTTATTATTTCTTTTTTCCTGAAACTACTTGTTCAAAATATTGATTGGAATTTGTTTTCATTCATGATGCACAGGACATTGTGTGAACATATTAGAAGTGATTTTGGTGGAAAACCCAAATGTTCTCCCTCGGCTTGGATGGAAGGAAATTCAGGAACTATTCGTTTCTGGTTGCTTTCGTTGTTTTCATTTTACTGGATACGCCGACCAGAGGTGAGCAAAGTATTCTTTTCTGTTTATTTCGAATTTTATTTCATTTTTTGAATTTTTAATCCTTCAATTTTGTCGCCTTTACTATCCAAGTCAAAACTAAACCCATCTGAACTGACCTGACCCTACCTGATTTAATTTGACCCATTTTCAACTTTATGATGCTTGAAAAAAAACTTGTGTTATACAATACAATACCTACTATGAATTATGTGGGAAATTTGGCTTTGACGAGAAAATAGAGCCGAATTCATAATTTCGTGAATAATCTGTGCTGAGATGTTTAAAATCTTCGCGAAAATGTCCGATTCCGACTTTTTGTACGGGCTAAAAAATGTTAGTCTTCTCTCTGAATAAAGTTGAACAGCTTCCATCCATACTGACGTGAGGGTTTAAGAATGATGAATTGAAAATCGATTTCAATTTTAGGCTGAACTTTTTACTCTGAAAGAAGCACGCGTATGATTAATGTGCTCGATTTTTTTCAGAGCATCGGGGAAGTTTGCAATAATTTTCTTTCGCAATTTCGTGAATTCAAGCTAAAATCTTTTGTATAAATCAGGAGAAGGTTAGAGTTTATATGCTGATTTTCAAAAGTCATATATAAACATGAAAAATAAATAAGACTTCAAAAGTATCTGTTCTCAACAAAATGCAAAGCTCTTGAATGGCTCTTTATACTCCTTATCGGTCTCATCAGCAGTTAATTTCAGAATTTCTTCATTTTGTAAAATATGCGTTCAGAAAAATCAGCAGACTTTCTCAGTGCATGATTTCACATTTTTCTGTCGAATTTTAGCCCTATCTCAACACGTCGAATCTCAACAAAATGAAAAGTAACCCTGTATTTGAATGGCTCTTTATATACTCCTGTCGATCTCATCAGCAGTTAATTTCAGAATCTGTTCATTTTTTTTTAAATATGCGTTCAGAAAAATTAGCAGACTTTCTCAGTGTATGATTCACATTTTTCTGTCGAAGTTTAGCCCCCGATCTCAATTTGCTTCTCATAATCCGTGTGCGGCGTGTAATCCCATGAATCCAGTAGTAAAATTAAGTATCATTCCATCAAGTAATAATAAATCAACATTTTTGGAGACTTCAGCTTTTTGGGTTTTTTTTTTTTTTTAGGAGCCGGAGGAACATTCATGGACTCTGATGAAACCGGACTCGGAGGTTTGCTGCGACCAGGCCCAGGAAAAACCATGTCTGGCGGGAAAAATGGGGTTCGGGGCAACGATAATTATGGGCTACCCTCGGGATCCTCCATTCCCTTTTTTGCAAAAAATGACACAGAAACTGGGCTGATTACTGCGCAACTCAGCACCGACATCGAGCTCAACTGTACTGTGGAAAATCTCGGCGATAAAACCGTGAGTATACCTTTTTCATCGTAGGCTTCTGTATTTGCATCAATTCTTTCAAGGTTGATTAGAATTTGTCAAGAAAAATTAGGCGAGGTTATATGAAAGCTTCGTGCATAAATTTTTTTTTTTCAATACGAGACATGATGGGATTTTCTTCCGAATTGTTCCGATGGTAATCATGGATTTTGATGAGGAAGATCAGTGTTGCGGGTTTATTTTTATCAAATGAAAACAGAAAATTCAAGCACAAAACTCGCTCAAGGATGATTAGAATCTTGAAGTGTCAAAGTTCAACCTTCTCGTTTTTTTTTAAGGATTGTTTCCTGCTTGAAAAACAATTATTTGATGGGAAATTAATTCTGAGCTTCAGTTTCAAGTTTAGATTCGATGTCTGCCTTTAGCAGGATGTAAAAAATCTGGGGATATATTTCGTAAGCGTGTAAGATATTAAGCTTCTCGTTGGTTTTCAAGAAGTTGACTATTCTGCATCCTGTTTCAAAAACAATGCTGTTACACGAAATAAATTTGCCCCTAACGCGTCATATTTAAATTCCATGACTGACTTCAGGAATAAGTAACGACTCCTGAGACTATATTTTTAAANTAAGAAACTTTGTCTCAAATATATACGCGCGGAAAGTTGTAATCGTTTATCCTGCCAAGCAACGAAGGAGTCTAATACGAAGTTACCATTCATGTGTTGCGAAACAAGGTTGATGCTCAAAAAGACACAAAAAAGAAGAAAAGAGAATCCAAGTCCAACTTTTTTTTTTAGACATTTTGACATCATGATTTGAATGTTAATTGGATTGGAAGACATCTCTCATGGAAATTCGGAAATTTATAGATGAATAGGCTGAAGAATCATCGGAACTCTGTGTTCTGCACTTATGTTTTATTTGTCGAAGCTTCTTTTTTTTAGTGTGATTCGTATTCTTGCTATTCGTGAATGTCATTTTACCTGGATGTGTTCAATTTATGGAACATTTTAGCCACTGTATATGTTGGTGATCTGTGTACACGATGGCGAATAAAAAGAAAAACGGGAAAACGATCATTGTCACGGAAACGTTTTGAATGATCTCTTCTTTTTATTATTGTTTTTTTCCTGAAAGTACTTGTTAAAAATATTAATTGGAATTTGTTATCATTCATGATGCACAGGACACTGTGTGAACATCTTAGAAGTGATTTTGGTGGAAAACCCAAATGTTCTCCCTCGGCTTGGATGGAAGGAAATTCAGGAACTATTCGTTTCTGGTTGCTTTCGTTGTTTTCATTTTACTGGATACGCCGACCAGAGGTGAGCAAAGTATTCTTTTCTTTTTACTTCGAATTTTATTCCGTTTTATTTTACTTTTTTCAAATTTTTTAATCCATCATTTTTGTCGCATTTACTATCCAAGTCGAAACTAAACCCATCTGAACTGATCTGACCCAACTTGATTTAATTTGACCCAGTTTCAGCTTTATGATGCTTGGAAAAAAAACTTGTGTTATTATACAATACAATACCTACTATGAATTATGTGGGAAATTTGGCTTTGACGAGAAAATAGAGCCGAATTCATAATTTCGTGAATAATATGTGCTGAGATGGTTAAAATCTTCGTGAAAATGTCCGATTCCGATTTTTTGTACGGGATAAGAAATGTTAGTCTTCTCGCTGAATAAAGTTGAACAGCTTCCATCCATAACTGACGTGAGGGTTTAAGAATGATAAATTGAAAATCGATTTCAATTTTAGGCTGAACTTTTTACTCTGAAAGAAGCACGCGTATGATTAATGAGCTCGATTTTTTTCAGAGCATCGGGGAAGTATGCAATAATTTTCTTTCGCAATTTCGTGAACTCAAGCTAAAATCTTTTGTATAAATCAGGAGAAGGTTAGAGTTTATATGCTGATTTTCAAAAGTCATATATAAACATGAAAAATAAATAAGACTTCAAAATTATCTGTTCTCAACAAAATGCAAAGCTCTTGAATGGCTCTTTATACTCCTTATCGGTCTCATCAGCAGTTAATTTCAAAATTTCTTCATTTTGTAAAATATGCGTTCAGAAAAATTAGCAGACTTTCTCAGTGCTTGATTTCACATTTTTCTGTCGAATTTTAGCCCTATCTCAACACGTCGAATCTCAACAAGATGAAAAGCAACCCTGTATTTGAATGGCTCTTTATATACTCCTGTCGATCTCATCAGCAGTTAATTTCAGAATCTGTTCATTTTTTTTAAATATGCGTTCAGAAAAATTAGCAGACTTTCTCAGTGTATGATTCACATTTTTCTGTCGAAGTTTAGCACCCGATCTCAATTTGCTTCTCATAATCCGGGTGCGGCGTGTAATCCCATGAATCCAGTAGTAAAATTAAATATCATTCCATCAAGTAATAATAAATCAACATTTTTGGGGGACTTGAGCATCCTTTTGGGGTTTTTTTTTTTTTTAGGAGCCGGAGGAACATTCATGGACTCTGATGAAACCGGACTCGGAGGTTTGCTGCGACCAGGCCCAGGAAAAACCATGTCTGGCGGGAAAAATGGGGTTCGGGGCAACGATAATTATGGGCTACCCTCGGGATCCTCCATTCCCTTTTTTGCAAAAAATGACACAGAAACTGGGCTGATTACTGCGCAACTCAGCACCGACATCGAGCTCAACTGTACTGTGGAAAATCTCGGCGATAAAACCGTGAGTACCTTTTTCATCGTAGGCTTCTGTATTTGCATCAATTCATTCAAGGTTGATAAATATTTGTCAAGAAAAATTAGGCGAGGTTATATGAAAGCTTCGTGCATATATATATATATTTTTTTTTCAATACGAGACATGATGGGATTTTCTTCCAAATTGTTCCGAGGGTAATCATGAATTTTGATTAGGAAGATCAGTGTTTCGGGTTTATTTTTATCAAATGAAAGCAGAAAATTCAAGCACAAAACTCGCTCAAGGATGATTAGAATCTTGAAGTGTCAAAGTTCAACCTTCTCGTTTTTTTTAAAAGGATTGTTTCCTGCTTGAAAAACAATTATTTGATGGGAAATTAATTCTGAGCTTCAGTTTCAAGTTTAGATTCGATGTCTGCCTTTAGCAGGATGTAAAAAATCTGGGGATATATTTCATAAGCGTGTAAGATATTAAGCTTCTCGTTGGTTTTCAAGAAGTTGACTATTCTGCATCCTGTTTCAAAAACAATGCTGTTACACGAAATAAATTTGCCCCTAACGCGTCATATTTAAATTCCATGACTGACTTCAGGAATAAGTAACGACTCCTGAGACTATATTTTTAAAAGCGTCTGAATTGAATCCTCTCAATCGTTTTTCATTAAAATGAATATATTGTATTCGGAAACAAATTCTTTTCACGAAATAAATTCTCAGTGCGTCAGCTTTAAATATCCTATTTGTCTGACTTCAATAGGAATATGGAACAAAGTCTGCGATCAAAATGATTCCAAGCTTGGGACTCTGAAAATTCTATAAAAAATATAAAAAGAAAACAACAGTATTAAATAATTTACTTCCAATGATTAATAACTTTTACTGTGACAGAATAAATTGTGATAGACTTGGAATCTTTTTTTTTGTGCCAAAAAGTGACATTCGATCGATGTTATTTGAAAACATTTTGAATAATGCATTCGATTTCAGGTGTCGTGGTTTAGGCGATTCGGAAACGAGACGCATTTGCTTACAGTCGGTTTGAATACGTACATCCGGGACAGTCGAGTGAGTCTGACGTACGTTTTGCACAACAATTGGCAATTGAGAATAGCAAACACGGAGACATCCGACGCTGGCACGTATTTGTGCGAGGTTTCCACGCATCCGCCGATCCATCGGGAAGTTCAGCTTAAAGTAGTTGGTGAGTCAAATAAGATCATTATCATCAAAGAATTAAGAAAGATTTACAAGTATTGGAATTCAATGAAGAGACCCTTTTTGAAATCTTAAAGGATCAAGATAAACTGTTGGCCTTATTTTATTTCTCATCAAAGATTCTCTGTAATTTGTTCATTCAACTAAACCTCATACAGAAACAAGCTGGAGACCTTGTGCTTTAAATTAATTTTTACTGATATATTTTGTTTTCAATGTCAGGGAATGAATGGGTATATGCATACATGTCAGATGTCCAGTTGTATTTTGTGGATTGTATTTTCTTTTTATTTTTTATCTATTTGAGCTCTGTTTCCTGCTCTGAAGTGATTAAATGTCATCGAGTGGATTTGGGTTGGGTGGGGAGGGGGTTTGGATGTGGAAATCTTGATTGAACCATGTGGACGCTGAAAAGCAGCAAAAAAAGTGATCCGTTCTGTTCTGTTATTATTAAAATCATTTTCAAAGTAAATTACCGAGTTTCCTGCCGTGAAATTTCAATGCTTTTGGCATTTTTAAAGTTTGAAATTAAACTATTTTATCGCCGGTTCTCCTCATGCCACTCTTTTGTGACTCGATTTTCTGGGAGCTTTTCGGCCCCCAAAAATTCGGGGAAGTATCTTTGAAATCTTCCCCGATTATATGCTTTCAATTTTGTGTGTCCTGAAGGATTTTTATCTGAATTCTCGATGAGACGAATTTTCGAGGTCCACCCCTTCGACGATTGTGGGGGTGAATTTTCCAAAGGTTGATCAAGGAATATATTTCAAGCTTTTAAATTGCGAAGCGTCAAGAAAACATTTTAAATTGGCATTCCACGCTCATTGGATTTGAAAACAGAAAAGAAAGCAGCCTTTCAAGAATCATAAGCAGAGTACCGTATTATTCTACGACGAGTTTGCTTCCTTTGAACGGAAATCCTGGACGAAAATGCTTCCTTATTGAATTCCACGAGGGGGGGAAGGCTTTTCGGAATTATGCACGAACGGAGGCATAATCTCAGAAATTTGCATCACAAACAGACTGTAGAAAAGCATTTCCTTGAGGAGTTCCCGTCCGGGTTCGCCCTATTCTTCGGCGTGTTCTTCGGCGTGCCATATTTTTCCATTATTTTAAAATCTTCTTTGTTTGTTTGTTTGTTTTGCACTCTTGACTCTTGACCTTGTGATTTTCAACCTCGGTCAGGTCAGGGGTCGCGTGGTGATCAATTAAAATACATATATATTTTTGTTAAAATTGACTGAAATGACAATCCATAATAACGAACCTGAACAAACCAGAATTTTTCTTGATATGCGAATATTTATTAATTATTTTTAAATTAAATTCTTGGGGCCCATACTGCTCACAATATTTTTCGCGGAATTGGACGAATTTCTCTTCTGGAAATTAATGAGTTGATGATGAGATATTAAAATGTTCGAGGAACTACAATGAATGCTTGTAGATTATTTGTGAGAAGTTTGAGAAGCTCATCTTTAATTTACAACGAAAGCTGTATAATTTGCAAGACGTGCCCACCTTTTTTGAGTGCAAAATCTTCTTTCGCTCTTACTCAAATTATCATCATGATTTTAAACTGGGTTGAAGACATAGAAGGGCAGCATTATACTTCGCTTTTAATCTAGGATGATTCCTAATTTATTTAAAAAATAATAATTCACTGATTGCATGAGTTCGTGGTCACAAGCTGATGGTTTTTTTGTTGTTTTTTGTTGATGCACCATTCCTGTCGTGGCACCTTGAAAGAAGCTTCAATTAAACCACACTACCAGCAGTGGTGCAAACACCACCAGTTTTGAATGTCCCCTGATTTATTAGTTTCCGTATTTTGATGTTCCTATTGTTCTCAAAATATTCTAGGGGAGGGAAGGGTGTAAAGCGCTTATTAAAAAGCTGGGTAAGAATCTCGGGAACTACACGTATATACGCGCATTCTCTCATCCTCATCATATACAAGCCATATGGACGAGAACCCGGTGGGTTCGGGATCCCCCTTAACTGAAGACGTTGGGGGGGGGGGAGATCCTATGAGAGAAAAATGTGAGGAGAGGTCTCGTCTATGTTCCGGCGCTGACGGTTTTGTA